ATGATAGTCACATCAGACACTAACAAAACCATTCTGACATTTCCTGCTGTGTTCCGACAAGTATGCCACAGTCAGACCCCAGCCAGCAGAACGAGACGTACCCTGCACGTTCACTCTTAGGTTTGTGTTTCTGTGAAAGAAAAGCATTCACTTACAGAACCAAAACACACTCAAGCTTTCCTCTTGCCTTTCCTCATATACAAAATTAGAGTCCTGCAGAGTTTCACACTCCAACAGTAAGGCTGGATATCACACAAGGAGCTCAGGAGATCCTTAAGGATTTTATTAACAAGCTTTTCTCCTTCCACGTTTCTGAGTACTGGAGCTAAAGAATCACTGCTGAATGAATAAGCCCCCTGAATGAGGAGTTTAGAAATGTGATTCCATGAGAACCCCTGTTTAGTGCTACGACACAGCTGTGTGCAAAAGCAGTCCCTACTCAACAAGTTCCTTGCGCTCCCTTCTCTGTATTCAACCTCAGGGAGAAACTTGAACAAAGGTCAGTCTTCTGGACCCAGGATCCCTTTGATGGTTTTATATTTATAACACAGCTTTAACATCCTTCAGAGACAGCACCCGAGTATTTCTTCCACTGCATTATGTGCCCTATTTCCTATGAACTTTGTGCTCGTCCCTACTTTTATTTTGCAGATTCATCTTGATCACCACCTTTTTGTAATTTTACAAACATTTAAACCATTTTGTCATCGAACTAGATACAATTCCCAGATGTTTAAGCAGCTTCTTTTCCATTCAATGCCAGTCTTTACTTCCACATTTGGTTTTTCAAGCATCTTCAAGTCTGTGACTTTTCACCACCGTCACACACTTAATTAACAAGCCTCCCTGCAAAAAAAATAAAAGCCAAACCCCACCCTTCTATGCTACACAGGTCACTAGAAAGCTTCAATGAAGCCTGAACGTTTTCAAAAAGGAAAATAATTTTAGCCTACTTATGGCTGTGATGACATTCTTGCTAATGTGAATATGATGTAAAGATGGAAGATTGTTTTCCCCAAGTTGTATAAATCCCTGTTCTCCTTCAGGCCAAGCAGTCAGCCATGGCAGAGCTGGCAACCAAGCTCTAGAAGAGGGAAATGAACAGAGTTCTCCTTTGGTTTCTCAGTAGTAACAGAGCTGCACAGCACAGTCGTTACTCCAGCCTAAGACAGTTAACTTGTATGTTATCTGCAACTCCACTACCCATCCATCACACATCACATGTACTGGCTGATCCACTCTCTTCCTCCTTTCTTCTTTGTTCAGCAGCTCACCCAGCACTCCAAAAGAAACGTTCTTCTAGGAATGTGAGCACAACCTGCTCAATCCCTAACCAGTAGGATTAATCAGGACTGTTACTATAGAGCTGCTGACACAGATCAAGGCAACAGAAACACAGTTCTCGGTGAGGTATTAACTCTAAAATCACTGCTTGGTTTACACCTCTTTAAAATTTTCAGCTAACCACCACCTCTGGGCATAAAATGCATATATATAAATATATGTCTTCTTTTTCTTGTTACCTCTAAAAAATCTAGTTCCTCTTCTGGATATTTTGTAGAGAAATTAATTCATGACTTCCCCTTAGCCTCCCAGGGCTTACATTTCTGGCTATCTTCCTAGCCTAGCTCGATGTATGGTTAGCGTCTGTATGTAATTCATTTACTCCATTATTCTAACAGAATTCTTACATGGTAACATCCTACTGACACAAAGCAACAATTATTTCAAACTTTTCAAGGCAGCACACAAGATGAAAAATTTCAATGCATTTTTAACACCTTGGATCACCCTATGCTATACCAGCAACAGACCGGAGAATGTCATTGTGTTATTTTCAAATGGAAAGTACAATTAAAATATTATCACTTTAGTACAAGTAAATGAGACCAACAAAACTAGAAAACCTCATTATTACAGGACAGTTACTGCAGCAAGGAACAAGGACATGAAAATGAGCCAACAGTTTTAGGGACTAGCTATTATTGAACTATTTGTAAAATGAAAAATGTATATAGATAATTTAAACTGAAACTTAAGAGCATGACACAGAGCTGCACTGCAACTTTGAGGTACGCAGAAAGAAAGTCTGTTTCCGGGGGAAACAAACCCCCAGAGGTCAGCTTTATAACTTTTTACTGGGATAGCTTTAAAAACATCGAAGTCTGGCAAGGTCTGCTGGCTTGGCTATTACATGCAAAGAAGTTATGCCTGTCTTTCTTCCAAAGCATGCTATTTCTCCCCTTAACAGGCCAGCACTCCATGTAGCTTTTATGTAGACTGCATCATCAACTCGTATATTCTCTCTGCAGCTTTATAAAGAAGTCACACACTTTGATCCCTAACACTCTTGAACCCTAAAACTGCATAAAAGTTAGAATATTTGGACTTTTATCAAGTTAGGTGATAAAGTGATTTAAAAGTTCAACGAATTATGCTCTAAGTCCTGCAAGCTGATTGCACTTTACAAGTTTTATGAGCCAACAAATCCTGGACTACATACTACCCTCCTCTTTAAACAGATAGTCCTATTCAGATGTTTTCTATTCTCTCGGCCAATTTTTCTGTCTATTATGTAGAACAAACACATCCATCAATTTCCTGAAATAAGCAGAAGTACAGCCACCATTGAAGAAAAGTGCAAGCTCATGCAAAACGAAACTAACCAACACGCCCCCACCCCCAAACCAACCAAAAAATTAAAGGGAAAAATAAATAAGAACTCACACCTGACACGATCTCAGCTGTATAAATAGGAATTCATTCTCTCTCCCTAAATTACTCGCTTCACGGACACTGAGCTGAAAACTGCTACAAAAAATAATCATCTGAACATTCAGCTCTCCAGATTGATATTATTCTTAGCAATACTATTTTATAGTAAAACAATGTTTTGCAATTTTAAGGAAAGTCTTTAACAACATTAAAACAAGACATTTAGGCATTTGATGATTAAAGAGATTTAAATTTGAAGCATTAACCTACATGTCCTACAGCATTTCTAAGAACTTCACTGAGCTGCCATAATTTCTGTCAGCATATGTAGTACTGAATGACTAGTAAAATACCTGAATTGAAACTATTCCAGTCTAGCAGTTTGTATGATCTTGTGTTACCCATAATTCCGACAAAGGCTGAGTTCAAAACAGCAAATTAGTAGATCAGTTATAGGAGCAGAGTAGTGAAAAATAAACTACCAACAAGAACACAATTGACAACACCACTCCACAGGAACTGGAAAGACACAGACAGCAGAGTTAATAAGAGGCTGAAATAGAAAGGGAAAAAAAGGAGCATGCTATAGCAATCTAGCACTGGGCGTGATCAGTGTACAGTACATAGCAATTATTGTCAGATCGGTAAGCTCTCCATCCACCTTCAAATGTTCTTTCCTCTTCATTTATTTGCCAGTTTGTTTCCTTTAATATCTTACAGATTTACTTCACTCAAATGCTTAGTATGATTGTCTCTATATCAGCATCTTTCTTCCTACCTCCTCACCTTCCCTCCCATGGGCCTTCACTGCCCCGTTTGTGTTCACTGTCTTGCAATATGCTGAGTTCAAGGTATCATGCAGCTCACATCCACTTGTCAGGAGCAATCTGCAAGTCCCACAAAAACACTGCAAAGAGCCACTTACTTGTGCAAATATGCACCTCTGCCTTCTCTTATTTTTTACCCTGCTTTCAGCCAGTTGGAAAAAATGAAGGAGTGCATAGTGCAAGACTTTAAAATTCTGAGCAAAACTGTTGGGGTTTGGTTTTTGGTTGTGGGTTTGTTTGTTTTGGGTGGAGGTTTTTGTCTGGGTTTTTTTTGTGGGTGGTTTTTTTTTTTCTTCAGTAAATTTATCACACAGTACATTTTGCACATAACTGACCTGTATCAGGAGTCTGTTGAAAATACAAAAGCCTAAGGCAAGTCTGTGGCAAAGAAAGGGAGGACTTACATATAAACTATACTTTGACATTTCTCTTAATCTTCTACTGTGTAAATACATGGTAAAAATAGGAAAAAAGAACAATATTGTGTACTCATATGCTTTAAAAAAAAAATCCCTTAGGGCCTTTTTAATTCAAATTAGAGTCTCAGATTTTATTTCATGTTGTCAGTTTACTGAATCTTCAGATCAGCAACAATCTACCTGCTTGCAGAATTACTTGCCTTCAGCCACCAGAAGAAGAAAGAACAAGAAAGAAACATTTAATTTTTTTTTAACATTGCTTTTAAAAGATACACTTGCACAAATTTTGTTTTATTACTCCTGACTAGTGCATGCAAAATCACTACAGGTGCTATTCTTTGCTCTCCTCTGTCTGCATTTTTAGGCACACTGTGAACTCCAACTTTTTCCACAGCATTCCTTGGCTTGTCTTAGTGAATATAACAACACCTGAGTCAAAAGTCACTTAATTCTGATGTCAGAACTAAGACATGCAAAATACACATCTTCCAGTAGCACTGGGCTTCCCAGGTAAATATGAAAAATCTTAAAAGTTCTGTTTAGTGCATGCTTTTAAGAACAGAAACAAAGATGGAAAGGGTTTATCAAAAGAGGTTAAAAGATGCATTGAGCTAAATTGTAGTCATTAGTCCTTAAGGATTTCAAGAAGCTGAAAATTAGAAAACATTCATAGTTAGGATCAAGTATTTCATCTTATTTTTGTTTGAATGGAAAACTTGCATCAAGTTTTACTATTATAAAGTGGTTAAAAAATGCTTAAGCCCTCAGTAATTCAAAGACAGTTTTTAGTGCAAAGTTACTGGATTCAAAGTACTTTATTATTTCATTAACTTGCTGAAAGGTTTCTCAGTAAAAACATACTCTGAATAACTATTTTTCAAGCTTAAATGACTGCCTAAAAAACACTGCTTTTAATAGACATTGTTAGAAGAGATTCGTATCTATTCAAATAATGACACGTTGTAAAGCTCTAAAGATGAGGAGTATGTGATCATTACGACCGGACTCGGGCAAGGCAATTGTTCTTGTGTTAACATACCGGGATTGTGAATGCGATCCAGGAGCTTCACGGAGCGTGCGCTGACAACACCACCAACATGGACAAGAAAGCCTGGTGGAAAGGTCGTCAAGGTAAAAAATGGAAATTCCTGTCACGATTAAAAACAAACATCAAATGACTGCTTACCGACCACTGCTGATTGCCAATACACATGCAGGGAATTGATATATTTCCCTGAAACACAAGCAAAGCAGCTACATTAGGCCAAACATGTCCTTCAGGCTTACTAAGCACTACGTAACCATACGTCTTCATATATCCGTAGTATAATAAAAGCAGAGGTACCAGACAATGTAAGGATACTTTTCCCCCATAGAGCTGTATCTCAGCACAACATTAATAACCAGAACTAAACACATTTGTGTTAATAAAGCCTCTGTTGGTCCACTTTTAGTATGGCAGCTAAACAACGTAATTCTACTTTCATCAGCCGATTCAAAATAAAGGAACATTTTTCTTCATTTTTTAGGTATTCTTGTTACAATTGACCGCAGTTTGATCCCAAAGCACAGGGTAAACCAAACTGTAGTCTTGCAGAAATGATGAAATGTCTTATTACAGAAAAGTATACCTAAAAAGTAACAACGGACTGCTCTGCTAGTGTCATAAGCTCTCAATGTAACAAGTAAATATCCATTTGCTAGAATAAAGCATCTTTGAAATACAACTGTAAGTCCTTAAACTAAGGAAATTCACTTCCAATACATGGGCATAAATTAGTTTTTACCAATTCATAATTAAAATGAAGAATTAAGTTTCAGGAACTACTCAAAGATGTAGTTCATACAAGAGGCCAAGTTGAGTCGTAACAGTGATTTTTCATGACACACACGATGAAATAAAAATTGTATTCAAAGGAGGTGAGCCCAAAACTGGAGGATTTGATTTTCTACAAAGACATTCTATGGAATGTCTAATATACAATTGATTGCACACTTATGGGGGAAAGGCAATAGATTGATGTTCAGCAATTCTAAATGCATCGAGGCAAAAAAGAAAACTAAAAGAAAAATCATGCAGTCATGGTTTGTATAGTCATGACGATTGGTTAAATGGAAAATCAACACCATAGTTTCATATGAGAGAAAGTATAGTATAGATTCCTTTCTCACATACTTGAAGCACTTGCAACAGTACGGTTCAACAGAGCTTCTACCTAAACAGTGTACATGCTGCAGATTAAATGAGGATCACGGTTCTTCAGCAATACATGGCATGAAAAGCCCTCTTAAACTAAAGCCAAATGGAGATTTAAAATTAACACTTCAGAAGTCTTACCACCCTTGTTATTAGAACTCTTACAGCTTTTAAAAGGTCCAACAAACTTCAAGTTTCCTGGATTTTATTTGGGTTAGACTTTCAAAATTAAGAGGCAAACTTCAAAATCAGCAACCATAGTATCAACAACCAGAAGAAAAAAAAATTATCAAAAAAACCCCAAACCACACAATACACCGAAACCTTCAGTTGTGCCTTATGATGAAATTAAACAGCCGGAAGATTTGACCACAGGACCCTGCAAACCTGCTTCACTAATTTGTCTTCAGGAGCACTGATGGATCTCTACAAAGGGATAGAGAAAAGCTTCCGCCGAAGGTTCTAACAGATCAAAGTGCTTTGCGGGTTATCAGAATAGTCAGAAAGCCCTGCCTACACCACAGTCTGAACCCCTTTTCATGACAAAAAACGGAAAAACTGCAGTACAGCGACAGGGTTAGAACCCTCTTTCACTGTGGCTCTGTAATACCAACTGTTCAGTGGTTTGCAAGTATACTGATAATACTTGTCCCTGTACAACTCCATGACACTCACTCTGCGCCACTTACATTTAAATATGCAACATACACGTTTGCTCTGTCCCTTGAATATAGTTATCCCACATTAATGACATTAAAAATATTTGCCCAGAACCTTAGAAATCCATAAAAAGTCTACTGCATATGCCTCTTACACGTGAAATTCCATTAAGCCTACAGTACATTTACATCTTATACGTACATGTACTCTCACTTCCGCTGCACTAAAGCAGTCTGTCGCGACCAAAGTGAACGATACTCCATGCTCTAAAGCATAAGCGAATCTGATGTTTTTTAATCCATGTGGGGATTCACAAACAATTCTTCACTGATTTTCAGAAGGCTGCGTATTTACAAGTAGTTTTTACACGTTCAGACTTCCAGTTTGCCTGACTCCCTACGCTACAAAACAGGAATAAAACTTAAAAGTAATAGCATGTTTTACCTTACTATATTGACACTTGCAAGTCTGTATTACGATACATGTGAAAGTGAGACTTATGTCCAATCAGTTAATTTCAGCCACAGACAAATGTGGGTAACTGACTCACTGAGCCGTTCTGACCTCACACTATTAACAAGGCCTCATTCGTTCTGACACAGATGGAATTCTGGCACTTCATATGATGGCTTTCGCGTTTTTTTACTGGTTTTAAGCTCATTTAGAGGTTTTGGGCTTTTTATCATTCTATTACTCAAATACAAGTTCCAGCCTCAATCACGTGTGGTAATCTGTAATACCTCAAAGTTGTAAAGCTACGCCTGTAGCACAGAAAACAGATTCCCGAAGAGCCAGATGCTGCTCTGTCTTTACATAATGCAAGCAGAGAGTATTCCTCTGCTTGAGAAGACACGATGATCTTGAATTTCCAAGCTAAATCTGAGGATGGTCAACCATTGTACCAATACCAATTCACTCTGACACTTCAGAACCGTTGACTGCACAGACCCTGAAAGAACCGCCACCGGTTTAACCCTTGCAACTACACAGGGATTTTATAGTTGGCCTTTGGGGAAGTTGGATAAGGTTACAATAAAATCCTCATAAATATTTGTTTAATACAGTGTTTAAAAATGTTTGTGCGTACGCATACATGTATTGCCAGTGTTCCTTTTTAACTACATTCGATACAGACACACAGAATAATGAGAAAGCACATGGAACAAGGCTACACACACATATCATTCGGAGTTAGTGCCAGCTGAAGCAGTACTCATCCCCTTCCAGCCATTCACTCATTCCTATCGCTGTACCACTCCCTCAGATAATAGAGCTTTTGGGGCTGAACCAGTAGGGAACTGGTCCACATTAAAATACTGTTCATTTCCTGGCTGAATTATTTTTATTCTAAGCACATTTCTGTGCCATCTCACAAGGTGGTCACACAACCTCGCAATTTTTCTTCAGCGGAACTGAGGGGATGGCCTGGATAGTAACAAGAAGTCACTGGAAAGAAACGTTGCTTAAGTCCGCATTTCAGCCAAAAGAATCACCCAGAGAAGTGCACTCTAACACAACAGTTATCTAGCAGCGCCCTTCAGAGATGAAGATCAACAGATCTCCATTTTGAGAAGGCAGCAGTAAAGATCTCTCAAGCACTTGCAGAAGGCAAACGTGGAGGAATAAAACAGCATTTGTCCGAGTCGAGGTCAGAGAGATACAAAATACCATCAAGAGCAGCATTTGGACATTTCTACAAAAACACAGGCTCATTTTTTATGAGTAAAGTAAGTTCACGTTTTCTCACTGATGCAAAAACAGCATATACATTTACAGACAAAAATACACACGGAGAGCTGCGGTAGAGTTACACTGGCTATCAACAGGCATCCTGTGAATTGCTAAAAATATATTCATGTACAATGTACAGGTATGTGAGTTTTCCACAGCTGGAGTACTTTCCCAGAAGAAATCGAGTAATATTACTCTACCAACAAAATCTGTTCTGGTTTGCAATTTGGGTTATTTAAGTAACACCTTAAACCCACATTTGATTAAGGAAAGCGGTGGAGACACCCAGTTAAATGAACTGGGCTTAATACACCTTAGCATTACTGTATACCCAAATCAACTGAACTCAAAAGAATTTACTGTATCTCTAATGTGGAAATGTATTCCATGCATTGACTGTACTCTTTGGTTTCCCAAAGAAGTGCAACCCTAACTGATCCAGACAAACAACTAGAGCGTACGAAGTATGTGTGCAATAGTAAACCAGAAAAAATAACTTATATATTAGTGTTACAGATTCTAGTTAAGTAGCTCCACCTTAAGGTAACTGTAAGAGGTAACCATAGTAAAAACACATCCAATATTAAGTTTTCAGAAAGACAGTATGAACATCTTTTAACAATTAACAGTTCACATGCTTTGCCACATCAATTACAGACTGAATGTCTTTCCATCCCATTTTACAGTATTTTTTTCCACTAGACAATATGCATCCTTATCAAAAGAATTTGCAATTAATTCAAGCTCTAAAAATATGTTCATTTACATGTGTAATTTTTTTTAAAAGCTTCCTGAGGAAATAACAGATCAGCCATGAAATGTCTGAAATGCTAGCAAAAACAAAAGGTAAACAGAGAAAAGGCTCTTTTTAAAGCATTTTTTTTTTCAAAACTAAAACATGAAAAGCAAAAAGCCATGGATTTGTAAACAGAAATTGAAATTTTAACTGAAATGTATCAGCATGCAAAATACTAAGCAAAAATATGCCAATCTGATAAATGCTCTTAAAAATAACAACAAATATTTTTAAAAAAAATCCTGCTTAAACAGGATTACAAAGAAATCTGCAAAACCTCACAAAAAGAAAATTAAAATACGTCAGTAATGATTTAGAAATCCTCAATACAAGAAGAAAAGGGCTACTAAGAGAGTCACACAATGTTTTGGAACATACCCGCCTTCTACAGAACCTATGAGGCGATCCTCCCTTAGCAACGGATAACACAAAAAATGAGAAGAGAATCATCCACTTACTCAAAATAGTAGCTATGCACTTAGATTTCGCAGATTTTGTTTTCAACATGCGTGTACGGTTCTACGTAACAGTTCAGGTAGGCAAAAATTGTAATTAAACTAGAATTTATTTCTGAATAGGAAAACATTCGCATTTCTTCCTTCACGACAGCTCACAAATAACACTTTGACAAAAGCAATATATAATCTATTAAAAAAAAACTTGCAAGGACTCATTCTAAAATTTAAACGAAGAATTAAACCCACTCTTCTTACACAGACTATTCAGATGGCATTTTCACTCCTACAGAGGTTCGTCAGAAAACTGTAAACATATCAAGCCCGTCTATTGCTTGGGAAGTGGTTTAGGTTTAAGGTACCACTTCCAACGGCTACATGCACACCACTTCCTGTAGTAGAAGGAAGGCTAAATTATGCACCAACTCTGTTTTTCAATACTGAAAGTTTTTGCAACTCTAAAAGGGATTTTCACCTTACTTAAACCTCTTCCAATGTTCCTGAATTTGGCTTCTGTGAAAACTTACCTACATGCATGATGGCAAAGTATTCAACTTACCCATGCATCAGCACCTTACAGAGACTAAGCAGCAGTAAGTTTTGCTGTAACTGTTTCTTATAACACCAACTGTAACCACTTGAGTGCTGTGCACAACAGTTATTTGCTCTGCTTTTCTTAATGTTTTAATTATATATTAACATTTAAATAACTTGTGCATAAAAGGGCTATTAAACAGTCAACATTTGCAGTAAATTTTCAGACCTAAAAATTACACATCTTTTTAAACAGAAAGTTATAGGAAACATTTAACTTGCTACAAGCTAAATTTTCACTTTAGCAGATCAGAAACGTAAGTATAAAATGCCTTACCCTTTGTTCCAGAGCTGACTGAGTCTGTTGTCTTAAAAGAGTTTTAAAAGGCCCCCCTTCTTTTCCAGCACTCCCACTGCCCATTCCTGAAGAGCATCAGTACAAATGACATTCAAAGAAATACATATTAACATTTGTAATCAAGCTTTTAAAAATATATAAAATAGTCATTGAAAACAATCATATTATCCCCATAATTTTAATTTTCAGGAAAAAAAATACTGAGCATCACATTTGGGGGTGAGGGGAGGGCATGTTCTGAAGTTTGGCTTTCACAGGACTAGCAGGGGGTTTTTAGCATCCAGGCAAACCCTCCCTGAGTTAAGATCTTTTTCTGCTGCCAACATCAATTAAAAGAAAAATTTCCAAATACAAAGACTTAAAGATCTGAGCTTGCAATTCTTTCCTATGACATATCATCTTTTTTTTTTTTTTTCTTGTTACTATTGGGAGCTTTGCCTGATTTCAACCTAGATTTCCCATCTCTGCTTTTCACAGAAAATTTCTACATTATCAGATCTTCAGTCCTTACCAAAAAGGGACACAAAGTTGCCATTAATTCCACACTGTTGAACGATGCCTCTCTGACAGATTACTCTAGTCAAGGATCTCTACTGTCATTATCAGTTTAAAAAAAAAAAAAAAAGTAATAGAAATCTGTTCCTGAAAGCTATAGACTAACTAAATCACCTTTCCTAAGCACTGGGAGTAAGCTGCACCCATAATTTCAGCAGTAGCTATACAAGGCATGATTGGGACCAAAAAGAAAATTGCAAAGACTGCACATTCTTTGATTGGAAATATGAAGTCTGCAAAAATTACCAATTATTTGTATTTTCTTTAAGATTTGTGCAATGAAATATTCACTCATTTTCATTCAAATAAGCTAAGGACTACTGCTCAGCATTTAAAACTGCCACACTTGGTGACTATATTTGCACACACATAACCTACAGACTGTCTATAAAATACAAAATAAACTCCAATTGTGGTTTCCTTCTTTCACATAATTTATTCCTCTCCTTAGCCCCCAACCCAGGTGGTTTTCTGAAGAGATGGAAAGTTTATCAGATACACAACTATCTTTGCTATTGATTTATCTGTTCCCAAGGAACTGTACTCTTAACTGGGTGTGTCGAGACCCAGGTTATGTGTATGACAGTAAGTTACTTGCTTTGTGGTTAGAAATCACAAAAGTAAAAAATAAACACATACCAAGATTGTGTTTTTCCTAAAGTAAACACAATGCTGGTGAACCAGATTTCCTTGGTAATATTTCATGCCTAAAAACATGCTATCACTGGTACTTCTTCTATCTAAAACCATCAGCGCTAACTTGACAAATTAAAAAATAAAACACCTAAGTTGTATAGGAAAGCACAGGATAAAGAACAAAAAGAAGTGTCAGGAGCAGGATGAAATACAAACACCACAGTGCAAACAGTTACGAATGAAGCCCAGATTTTCTTTTACAGCATTTATAACTAACAACTCCAGGCTAGTTTTCTTTCTCTTCTGATCAAGCATCTAATAAACACCAATGAGATTGTACATATACATCAAAATGCAGTTATTTGTTTTAACCAAAGGCTGGGAAATCTGGAAATTATTCAAACTTAATGTACGTTAAACATTCCTACCATTTTCAAATATTACTAGGCTATCATTACCATATAATTCTATATAAAAATACTGTAATTTTCAAGAAATATTTTTAGCTGTTCTTGGATAAGGAAACAAAAATATTAGTATCTGTATAGTCCCATTAAACAAGATTAAATTGCTTTTACTATTTGGCATTGAATCTAAACATCATTGTCAGGGACTATACAACATTAAATACAGACAAACAGAGCATAAATACTGGACATGAAACAAGCTCAAAAAAAAATACAAACTAACCAAAATATTTTCTACAGAAAAAAGCAGCAGTATCAAATATTTAATTGAAATCTATGAAGATGATGCATGTCAGTGAAATGGAAAAGGAGGCAGTACAAATAAAAAGTTTGTATGGGCTTGGTTTAAAAGATTAAATTAAAGAGCAGAGTTGCAAGCCATCTGACAGCCATTATTTCAATAAATTATGAATGAATTAATGAGCAATTGCTTGTTCCATGCAAAATATAGGAACAACAGATTAGAGGGAATGAAAGAGATTTAAAAAAAAAAATAAAGTAAATTATTTTAGGCCAATTACCAAAGGAAATTTTGCAAGGGAAAAGGAGAAAGTTCTGCAGCATAAAGTATGTAGGCTTCAAATCCTCTAAGTTCTGAAGCTGTTTCAAGCTTCTGGGGCAGAGGTGAGCAATGGTATGAATAGTCATGTAGCCAGCAGTTTTCAGAGGGTAACTGAACAAAAACATAGGGTTATAGAAGGCTGTGTGTTAAATGCCCCCGTGTCCAGTAACAACAACATTTTCTTAAAAGGTTTGTTTAAAAGGCCATAATAGATTGATCCTACCAGAAGCAGCCAGAAGCAGCTCTTCAGTGAAAGAAACACTTTTCCTCAGAACAACTGGGCTGACATGGCTAGAGTGTAGAGGGTTAAGGCTAGACCCCGAGAGGAGGAGACAGGACTTTTTAAGATGTGGGGAATCACAAGAGAGTGTAGGGGAGCTGGGAAACAGGAAAATCCTAGGTCCCTGTGGGGAAGGTGCTGTGGAGGAAAGTAATAGAGACAAAGAGATGTAGATTCAGAAGATGGCTAAAGAAACAGACGAAAGAAATCAAAATGAAGCAAGTTTTTTTTTCTCCAAATGAACCAGCGCTTACTGCTATATTATTTCTCAACATACAAGGAGATGGAATGACAACACAGTTCCACAATGTGAATGAGAAGCATGTTCTCAATAATCATGACCTGATTAGCTTTAGTTTGAAATTGTTCTTTTTAAAAGCCGCGGTGATCTAATTTTATTTCAAATTTTATGCAAAACTTGGTAACAAATACTATGGAGTAGAAGCTAAGTAACAGTCTCCTCACACACTTAATCTGATTACTTTCATTATTTAGGTATAAAAGTTATTTTCGACAGAAGTCATGGATTTGTTTTATGATTTTTAGAGCCATGAATCTTGTAGAATTCTAAGTTCCCACACAGGAGTTCCCACCTTCTCAATTTCCTCCAAACATATACTATGTCACATCAAAATGTATTACCTAATTAAAATGTGTCATGGATTTTTTCAGCCTGATAATCTCTTAGTTTGCAGCGGCATAAGATATATCACTATTCACAGAAGCCGTCTAACTTCAAACCAATACAAACCTTCTCAGCACAGAATAATTTCTCCTCGTATTTAGACCAGATACAGACCAGAATAGGTAACATGATCACGACTGTGCTTTAAAAAAGACACTAAGGTAATAATCTCGTGATTTGGAGCCTCTGAAAACCAGATGCTTAAGCAGATCCAAGTTTCAAATCTCCTCTATTTAGCTATCCATACTGTAAAATTGTGGTATCTGTACTCGTTTTCTGGGTAGTCTCCATCTCAAATATGCGAACACAGTACCTACCTGACTGAGAGATAAAGAGGAATATAGCGTACTGCAGAAACAACAAGAAATGCTTCATTCTTCACATCAGCCAATCTGAGTAATGGGTATGTCAAATTTGATAATGTTTAGTGCGTCACATCATACATTTGCTGGTTTTGGTGTTGGTTTTTTTTTTTAATATTATCACCAACTTTCACACTGAAATATTCCAACTTAATAACAGTCTCAGGAAATGAAAACAGGCATCTAAATATATACAGCAAATTGTTAAACAAACATACTGAAATTAGCATGCTGTGGAATTATCTTCTTCACATCATCTATTTTTGGCAAAAGGTAAAACAAGCCACTCAATAGCTTGTTCTCAAAGGACAGCATCTCTTAAGATTCAAAATCTAGTATGCAACACCAAGATACAGAATTTTTAAATGCTACCAGCAAATCCTCTTAAGACAAGTTTCAGTAGTAGCACTAGAAGCTGCTAGAAAGACAGCAGTGGTAAGCCAAAGTATGCCCACTGTTAGCTTTAATATTAAAAAGATAGCTACAGAATATCTTTATAGACTTGAAAAATCCCTAAAAATAAGACAATCCAATTAAACAATCCATTTTAGTTCTGAATGCACAGACTAAAGGCAAGAGGGCCTATTCACCTTCCTAACATTGCCCAGAATGATAAAAGGCTGCTGCTCTAAAAACTGACAAATTCAGAGTGAGTTGCCACCTTCTTAAATTCAGAACACGTACATCTATGAAGTTGACCATCTATGTCACATTTAAACCCTTTACAAACAGTGATCCTCACCATGGAAAGTCCCATCAAAAGAAACATGTTTTCAAATATTCAGTAAACCAAACACATAAATTTGTGGTTCTACATAAAAAGCATCCGGTTATACTGGTAAGGTCTTTTAAATAAGAGACCACCATAGGTTATCCACAAAACAGTCATCATCTACACAAAAGGACCAAAAAAATAAGTGTGCTTTTGTTTACAAACAGGACAGAAAGGCAGTACCAAGAAAGACAGCTTCCTAAACGGGAACATTTTTAAACAGATACCTAAAGGAATAAACTGTGTAAAATATTTCCTATAACTGTATTTGAATGTAACAGTTAACTGTCTGCTTGAAACATTCTTGAAAGGGGTGCTATCAAGTACAGCGGAATCACCTACTTTAACAGGCTTAAAAAGTGTCTGGTTTAGATGGAGACAAGGATGTTCTGAGCTTCAAATACCACAATTTAAAACATCATTTAAAAAGAAACCAGTCTTTTACAAACAATTCTGCAAAATGTTTTGCCCTACAGTAGCAAACTCAGAGCACCAGTCGCGTCACGTAGAACAGACAGACGCTACTTCTCGGAGCTGTGCTGACATTACTGCTGACATGATTCTCACCATAGACTTAAAAACAAGAAGGGAGGAAACAACAAGTTGGAAGGAATGATGACGGACCAATGGAGAAAGAAAAAAGCTCTTTGAAGATGGCTGGGGTATAAGGTACTGTCAAAATATACACAGTGTATGGCAAGCCTTTTCCATGTACCCAGAACAAAAAACCAGCAGCTGCTACATCTCTAGTATTGCATTTGCAAAAAGGAGTTCAGAATCACAGACAAATGTATACAATATACTTACAGCACAAGACATAAGGCTTGAAGACCACACAGTTTTAGTAACACTGTCCTTAACATAGTGTGGTGGGAAATGTGCTCCCATGACTTGTAATATGAAATGGAGGAAATAAGAAAAAGGCAATTACTTAGGACTCCCTTAATGCGCTGAGATGTTTTATTTCGCCTTGAATACAGTTGTGTTACAAATGTCATTTTAATGTTATCCAGAATGATGGAAATATAGGCAGGATTTAAATTTTCACCCTACAGAAACCCTCTCGAGCTTGAGGTGTGCTATCTGAATCTCCAATTTCCACATCATTTTGATAACTTAAATGCCAAAAAGCAAAAAGGGGTTGAATGAGAATATAAAAAGAGAAACACAAATTAAACAAAAAGTGGGTGGAAGCGCCTTACCAGTTTTGGGTGTCAAACTCAAATCTGTGTCAGAAGAAGAGGACTGTCGACTGTAGGACTTGGAAGGTGAAAAGGAATAGGTTTGGTTTTTCAGAGGGGTGGAGGGTCCTGATGAATGAGTATTGGGATTGGGATCTTCATTGAAGGGAATCCTGCCAGAAGAAGGTGGAAACATATTCAGTAATCCTGTGCCAAAGGACCCGGCTGACAGCAGCATGATCCAAACACCAGGATGGGATTGGGGCAGGGCCAGCAGCTATTCCTTAGGTGCGAGACTGGGGATGAGGCCAGAGGCAAAGAAATGCTGTTTTACCCATTCAGCATTCTACAGAGAGATGCTGATAATCTACAATGAAACAATTAAGCCAAATGAAAGGCATGAGATGTGACAAAAAAATTATATATACGCAAAAGAAAAAATTGAAAACAGTTTATGGCTTATAAATCTGGTCAAATACACAATGTTTTTGAGTTAGTTTAATAAAGAAAAAATGGTTTCAAAATATATTTGTGTTTATACATATTCATACACTTATGTATATACACACGTATGCATTTTAAGGAAAAAACAAAAAGTATGTTTCCTTATCCTATAGCATCAGAAGCATGCCACAGCTAAAAACAGAGCAAAGAGGCGAATCTTTGTGGGAACAACTATATTGACAAACAGTTCACTTATGCACAGATTGACTTACCTGCTCTCTAAAACCATCTCTTCCACAAATGGCACATACCCTTCCTATAACCATTTTAAAACGTAAATACCCCATCTGGATTATGCTTGAAAGCCAATACGAACTCCAATCAAAACGTGATTTCCTCCAACGACTGTAAGATAGCAAATGTTCCCCAGACACATCAACTAATTTTTACTTAACTTCGTGGGAAGCAAGCATGCTAAAAAGAAATGAAGAGTGTGGCTTTGTGGAAGAGACACCGATGAGTTTTCAAGAAACTATTGCCTTTGTTTCAGCAGCTGCACACAGAGTAGTTCTTCACTGACAACAGAAGGTGTCTCCATGAGAAAACGAGGGGGAAAAGATGGGTGGTACCTGCCTACACTGCCTGCCTGCCTGCACTCTGCGACCACTGTGCCTGTGGCCTGCCTCTCCCCAGCTCTTGAGTCTGAGCAGTCTCGTACCAGTGTAGATGAGAGTGGGAACAGACACAGAGAAGTTCTGAGTAAGTCGTGAGCCAGTAGCAGTGTGAATTGGGCTGTTGTGAGTCGAGCGGCATCCATGGCTTGGCGGATGAACCAGCGGAGACCTGAGAGAATTTGCAGCCAAGGTGGAAGAAAAGAAAACAATACATACAAACAGGTTGCAAAGTTACGTTATAAATGATTTCAGGGAAGTTTAGCTAGAGGAGATCTCTTACTTTAAGCAGACTAGCAGAATTTAAATTCCTAGCATGCAAGAGTCCAGATGAAATAAAACTAGAATAAGGAACAGCTTAAGCACTAGCTTGTGAATGCAGAATTGATTCTTTGGCAACAGGGCATCAAGTTAGTAAAGCCAAGAATAAGAAGCATTAGTTGATTTTGCTGGCTTTGAGAAACACTCCCACTTTTTGGACTGAAGGACAACCGTTCTGACAATATCCACCACCAAGCTGAACGTGGATTACGCGGAGGGTGGAATGTCCACATTTTGCTCCAGAGTGAAAGCTAGTGATTTATTTCTGAATGTTTTTTAAGTTGGCTGTAACCAGGTCCACCTTTTTTTTTTTTTTTAAATCACCACTGTTGTTTTATGCTGCCTTATATCTAGAAGCTCTTTTGATGGCAAAACGTTTAAATTAATACAAGTTAAGCAAGCTAGGATTTAAACCAGAAACCATTAATTTTGGTAAGATAGAGCATACCAATGCCTATACGACAAAAATGCCTCATTACTATTGTAATGACACAACAGTTCAAGTTAATGAAAGTGGTTAGTTCAATTAATACCTCTGGAAACACAGCGTAAGTAGTACACTTTTTGGTGCCATTTTTTCCTTCCAGAAATTGGATCACTCTACCAAACAGAAAATAACTAATTTATCCCAGCAACAAAGAGGACATCGTTTGAAGAAGACTGTAAGTACTTCTCTATGAATTTGTAAGCACATTAAAGATTCGCATTCAAACTACGGTTGGTGCTGCAGGAGACACAACAAAGATCAAGAAATTCTACCTCTCATCACAGACCATTTGCTCTGCAAGTACACTGTTTTTCTTTACCTGTTTTGCAACAGTCCTACTTATTTTGCAACAGTAAACAGCAAAGCACACAAGAAAAGACGAGACTACTTCAGAGTCGCTCTCTACACACTGACAGAACTGTCTGAATTCAAAATTTATCTTTTCTTATATGCTCAGCATAAACACTCAAATCTGATTGTATTGAACTTGGAATATCTTGAACAGAAGGTGTATCATAAGAAGCCCTCACAAAAACATTCATTGAACTGAGAGTCAAGGCAGAACTAATTATTAGTTAGGAAATTGATGGATCACAACTCAAGGGTATGTAATACTGTTGCTATATAAATTCAAAAAAGTCACATTAAGGAAGAATTACCACTCCGGCTTCTAAAAAGATAATACAACTAACCAAACCTAAAACATTCTAAAACTAACCAAACCTAAAACATTTTAAAATTGTGGAATATAAACTGAGTTGCAGACAAATAAACTACAGAAGAAAAACAAATTCTGGGGAAAAAAATAAACCACACCAGTTATGTAAAACTGAATGAGTATGAAAAGAAGAGAGATGAAACTTGTTTCCCTACCAACTATTAATTCATACTTACTCCTTCATTTCTTTGGATGGGGAGTTACATGCAGGTAAAACTGCTGATGTGTTACTTAATTTATCCAACGTGCAGACTGTTCCTATGGCTCGCACTACAAGTCCAGATTCTCCCTCCAAGTCAAAACACTGCAAATAACCAACAACAGCATTTCCTCTCATTTCAAGCACCTTCAAGCCAATCTTCCTTTGCAATTCACCTACAAAACAAAAGGTAAAGAGCTCATAACTGCAGTGAACCGTCCCCTTCCTCTTTTGTGGTCGTTGGTCTCTGCTTTCGAAATTGCCAACCAAGACTGGGAAACAGGCAATACGCATTATCCAAAGCAGCTGGTCACAATCTCAGTCTTCCAGAATACAGTGGGATATTCATGACTTGCACTGCCTTCTTTCCTTTTTTAAGGAAAGACAGTGGTCTGCTATAGATGTCACCTAGCAAAATGTGTTTAAAAAAAAAAAAAAGTTGATTGATCTGTGTAGGTAGATATGTCTTGGTGACACTAGGTGGAAAATATCACCTCCCTTCTGATGAAAATGAAAGATTTCCAGAATACTCTGTTAACAAACTGAAAAAGCCTTATGTCACAGAGGACAGCCTAATAGTTCCAATGTTAAGAAATAAAAAATAAACATAATTAATAAACATATAAAAGATAGTCATGACTGACAAATTCACTTTTTATGAGGTTTTTAATATAGCTCTCCTGGTATGTCAGAAAAAAAAAAATAAACATAACTAATACCAAAAATCATATATAATCTTGTCTTAAGCAAGTCACTCATCCAAATGGTGATTATTTTTAAAAGCAGCAATAAGCATTACAGCCCACACATTTTAATACCTGACATGAGTGAAATAAGCCTTTGTCTAGCCTCATTTGATGCCCTCGGTGTACGAATTCGGTCTATCCACTGGTATTCTGGGTCTTCATTCACTACAAGTTCTTCCACAAATCCATGAATTATTACTGCTCTGTAACACTTAGGAATAGATGTAGCTGTTTAAAGAAAAAATTATATAAATAAAACATGCAAGGTATGAGTTTATGAGCCAAGAATTCCAAGTAAAATGTAAAATCACACATAAAAAGTGATGTGTGGATTACTTTCTGGAATTGTTCACAAGTTTCTCTTAAAATGTGGACATGCCCAAGCAGTTTTGTTCTGGAAGACCTGGAACACTTGTAAGATAACTGTCCAACGTATCAGTTACAACACATACCGTTATGAAACCTTTTCACTTTGTGCATCTTTGCCAGGGTATGCACCCAAAATAACACAATGTGCACGTGCACACGCACTGAAATGCAACTTAAGAAAGATAAATGGGGGGGAAGGGCAATCAGTTATTTACATTGTTTTGAAACATGAACAGTAAAAATTTATTTTTAAAAAAAGCAAACTAAAACTTTCTGCATGTGCTACTGGCTTCAACGTGATCTCCACTGGGCTTATGCAATGACATGGTGAAAGAAGGGAAACTGAAAGAATAGGTAAAGAAAGCAAGGCGGGG